TCTACATTTTAGGGCTAAATCAACAACATCTGAAATCTTGACTCCTATGATAGAAAGCAGGAATTTCTGTTCCATTGGGAGTGTACCTGCTGAGCATCACTATGCCACTTTTACACCGACTGATCAGAAAAAAAACTGCACTTGCAAAAGTCTTTTTTTGCTTGTAGGATTGGTAACCAAGTCTTTCAAGACTGCCTTCTGAGCCAAAAGCTCCATTTTCATTGGGCTAGAGAAGAGGAAAAGAAGTTTGGTGGTCTCCAGCACGGGTCATGAAGGTCCAGATCATTGCATGCCCCCCAGTTTCCTGTGTGATGGCCACTGTGTCAAATTCCTTCACTGCAAGCCAGTGAAGAGTGCAGAGCTAAATGCATCAAGGTGTTCAGCCTGTGAGGGAGCGCTGCATGTGAGTGCTGTAGGCAAGCTGTACAACAGGCTGAAAAATGAATGCGATGATTTCTTTGGACATAAGGTCTAACCCAAGCAAATAGAACATGACAGACATTATGCAGAAGAAGAGCACCTCCTTGTGCTTATTAAGGTGGAGTAATGACAGTCAGGATGCCAGCACCTACAGCTATTTTTATTTGGGTGCAATAATGAGATGTGCTGCTTCTGATGCTGCTACAGACCGTGGAACAGCACCTTTTGTCAAATGGCTTGCTCTCTTAGAGAGAAAAACCTAACTCATAACTTACGGATCTTGAGTGGCTTAAAGAGAGCAGCGTGGAAGGTGAGTTTAGTCAAGTCACTCGTATAAATAACCAAAGCAGCAACACTGTTATGAAACATGATTGGGAACCCCCAGGTTTCTTTGATGTCTCCATATGTTACAGGAACAAGGGAGCATGTTTATTTTGCAAAGCATTGGGCGTTCTCTGCATTTTTTAGGTTTCATTTTCCATCTTGATGTCAAGCTTACTTCACAGCTCCTCAGCATTTCTTCCACTGGCCCATTTTAATTTCACAGTTTAGATAACAGCTAGAAGCTAGAGAAATTACTACTCAAGTTCTTTCATTTCTAAGATGCTCAAGAGTAGCTTTGAAAGGGCAGAATCCTTCAAACTGTACCATCTGATAGGTGTCTGGCTGGTTTGAGCCACCTCTAAAGTATTAAATGTGCCCTGTGCAGACATTTGTCCTCTTGTCAAACCCTTCTAAATATCTTATTCCCTCCTTTATCTTTCGTAGATTATCACCATCCTTTAATTCTTGGCTGCAATGGCTTAGGTTTAGAAGGGAGCAGAAGGCTTCTTCCAGCCCACTTGTGTTTTCCCTGCTTAGCTCACATGCCCTGCTCATGCTCTCCTGACATACCTGGGTCTCCATGGAGCACTGCTTTGGGGTTCCTCTGGAGTAAGCCAGCAGGGGAATGGGACAGCTTCTCACCTGGAATAAAGTAGTGCTGTAGCATTTGTGTCAGTAACCATAGCTGAACCGCACAGCTTTATTTTGGCAGAAGATTGAGTGTTCTCCAGCATAGTAAAACTCATGCACCTCTTTGAATCCAAATGCATGTTAGCCTTCCAGTTTAAATTTTTATTTTTGCAGTAAGAGCTCAAATTTTTGCTAAGAGGAATTCAGAACTGTCCTACCCTGCACATACCTTTGAATGAGTGTGAAACCGTGTACCAAAACTCAGAAGAGTTTACAAAAAATGTTTACTGTAACTATAGTTCCCCATTCGATTCAGTCATGCAATGGCTATTTTTTTTTCCGTCCCTTTAAAAGCATTCTTCCTCCTGACTGCATTCCAAAGTAGGTGTGAGATAACTCACTAAATCACCATCTAATTTATAACTCTGACAGTCATTCCGTGAGTCATGGCTTTATTATTACAGAAATGCAACCCACAAACATTTTTTTTTTCCTTAAAGCTTCGGTTTGTTTGGTCACAAAGAAAGCTTTGATGCCATGTTACCCAACAGACACTTAAGGACCATGATTCCACCCAGGGCTTCATCTCATGAACTCTATGCCTGACTTTTTTTAAATTATTACTTATTATTTTTATTTGTCTCCCTTTCCTGATATTGCTTCATCTTCCCCTTTCCATTTTGTGTTCACGTAGCTTTTGTGTGTGCTGTTCTGTTGCTTGCAGCCCAAGCTTTTAGGGTCACCTTGGAACTGAAGTGTCTCGACCCTATCCCCAAGCTGTGCTTTTTCTTTTAACCACTGTTCATGCAGTATTCCATAGAGTTAAATGGCATGAGCATGACCAGTAAGAGCGCATCAGAAATTGCTACCTCCTCCTTTCTTCCTCCAGTCAAAAACAATGGTATTTGTAACCAGAGACAGCCTTATGCAACACACAAACATCTCAAGTATGGTAAATGATTTCCAATTGTTCCATGTGTCTAAGTAATTCCTGGTCCCCCACTTCCGATATCTTTTGCAATTTTTATTAAAACAATTGCTTGCTTTTTTTTTCTACTAGTGCCTGGATGTTTTTATGTGAACTGTGGATGCTTTTTCTATCCTGAAATTTTTGCAGCCTAGTTAATGATTTGCATGTAAGAATACATACTGAAATTGGGGATGGGACACACGAAAAGTTGTATCCCAAAGAGAAAAAAAAATGTATTTGTTCTATACATTTCCAATCAGCAAAACTGGGTGGGTTGTTGCATGGCAACAGCTTTCTGATCTTCAATATTTTTTGGTTAGTGAAAACCTTTGAGATTTGTTGAGCAAGTATGAGTCATGCCATTGAGGTATCATTTTTAAGACTTTGGCTGAATGTTTGCAGCCTGCCTGGAAGACTTTGGAGTATCTCTGACAGGTCAGCTCTCATTGCAGGCTTAGGTCTGAAGTCATGTTTTCAAGAACTGAATTGATTAGTAGCACTGAAGTCCTTGCTGTATCTGAGGCAACTGGAGGCAGTGCGTTTTTTTGGAATAGGTCTTCATATCTCCTTGTTCAGCATTTAAAAACAAACAAACAAAAAAAAACTCCATAAAAACAACAGTCAAAAGCAACTACAATCACTATTCATTCTTAAGACTGTTAGACCATATATGAATGCTCTCATTCTCAATAGAAATTTGATGCATATCAATGCCATATCTTTCTCCTGATTTTTCATCTCACACCACGTATTGCTCTTTTCCTTTGAGTTGTTTCCTTCAGTTTAGAAAAGGTGTATCAGAAATCTTGTAAGGATAGGCTCTTTTTCTTTCCAATATAAGATAAGATAGTTCTTTGGAGACTTGTGCCCTTACTCGGGCACCTGACCTGAATTGCTTTTGAATAATTCATGGCTCTACCCCACAGTGTGATGGCAGTATCACTTTGATATGTTTCAGCATCATGTGCTAAGCTCCATCTTTTACTGCTCGTGGTTAACCCAATTGTTGCACATGCCAAGCAGTTGTCATCAATCTTTCTGTCACAGTCCACGTCTGTTGAAGTTTGGCCTCCAGAAGTGTTGCTTAGAGTACTGGAAGGAAAATGCCAGTGGTCACAGTGTGGAAAGGCAGGAAAAATAAAAGCCCTGTTGAATGCATGGGTGCTGTGGAATGTATAGCTAGTGCATATGGAACGGAGGGGAAATCTGACTCTGGTAGCCTGAATAGCATTGCTGTAAGAAAATTTGCAGCCTATGCTTGCTGAGGAAGGTGAACAAAATAGGCAACAAACAAAGAAGAAAGCTTTTTGACTGTTGAGAAGTCTCATTTTGAAAACCGCTGACTATTACATAAGAAGTACCATCCCTGCCATTATTTTGCCAAGAAAAATTATTCAAGCAAAAGTTTACATGAAGGAGTCTGTAAGGCAGAGGAAGGAAAACCTTTAGGAACAGAATTATCTTTTATGGCCCAAATAGGTGTTGGTGATGAATTCCTCTGGCTGCCTCATTGATAAGATACTGAAAAGCCAGGGCACTTTGTGCAGAAATGTCAGCATGATGAGTGAAAACACGTCACCAAGTCTGCAGATCCTGAAATGAGAAAATGCCAAAAGAAACATGCAGGTTTTATTTCCTCAGCTGTTATCATGAGAGATCACAATCCTGTTGAGCAGAAAAGCAATGCTGCTTTTTAAAGCAAGCCACAAATTAAGTGATCACAGACAAGAGGTTTGAGTTGTTGTGTTGGTTTTTTTCGCCTTTCTAAAGTGACTAATTGACCCTTGGCATTATACACCTTTGGGAATCTGGTGTGATGCACATACATGGAGTCTGATTTTTTTCAGAAGGTGTTGAGCACTTCCCCCGCTTCCACTGAAGCCATACCTCGGGTTGTGTAAAAGGAACAGAAGGTCTGTGGGGATTTCCTCTGAAGCTAGTATGCAAACAGCAGTCGGAAGACTCCAACTCTTAAAAGTATAGAGAACCCTAAATAGATGGGCTGGGATAACTGGGAGGGAAAGAGACATCTGTTGAGCTGTTGAAAAGACATATGCTCCTAGCACTTCCTTTGTCATGCATTTTGGAAATCTTTTCTCTCTGAGTTTATTGCTAATATTTAATTTAAAACCAGATTTGGATTGTTGACAAAATTATGACTTGTAAACGGACACTTCCCCCCTACCCCCCTCCCTGCTCCCCCCCAGCCCAACCTGAACAGTGCTTCCTCCTCCTGCTGCTCCCAGCACACACACCGTGGCCATGGTTTGGGAGAAGCAGAAGCCTCATCCAGGCCTTGGCCTTGCCTGGCAGGGTCATGCAAACCAGTTGGTGGGAGATGATGGCCTGAAAGCTGGTAGCTCTACTGGTGCTCCTACTGCTGCCCTCCGGGCTGGTGATCACGTTTGCAATGAATGGAAAACGTGACTTTATTTGTGTGTGTGTGTGTGTGTTTGTGTTTGAGCACTTAATGACATTTCAAGGCATCCGACAAAAGTCTAATTCCTTGGATTGGTTTCGTCAAATAATAAAATGACTTGACATAAGTATAATTGAAAGCAGATGTGGAAATATGGAATTTTAGCAGTCACTCTGCCCCCGCCCCCCCCCCCCCCCCCCCCGCTCCCCCCCTTGCTTTCCCCCCTTTTCTCTTAGCTTTCATTCATGCCAGAAATATTTTCATTTTTGTTTCCTACTTCCTCTCCACAGAACAAAGCCTAGGGAGGATGAGTTCTGGGGCAGCGAACCAAAGGGTATTCATTTCACATTTTCTCATCTCCTTGTGAAGTTTCCACCTTTTCTGAGTTCAATTTCCATTATGAAGGATTTTCAGCTACATCTCCTCCTTTCCACTATTTTTGAACTCATCCTCTAGATGAACTTTGTTATATAATCGTTTCTGTCTACGGTGGCTGTTTACAGCTATTGTGTGAATCTGAAGCTGTAGGTTACGCGCTGGGCTCTGTGGAGCAGACGTTAAGTTTTTGTCTTTTCCCTTTGGTTGGATTGAATAAGTGTTAAACAGAAGAAACAGTAAAGATGCAGGCTTGAACACATATGTGAACATAACTGTGGACAAAAGGCTGAAGGGCTGTTTCCCAGAGTTTCGCTCTGTAAAATACTATGTCTCTACAGGCTGAAGGGAATAGGCTAAAAACAGCTGATAATATTTTTGCTATTATCACTGGTACTTAAATGGCAGAGATGAGTTTTTCAGTGGAACAACCCTTCCCAATATGTCAAATCAGTGGAACTGGAAAAATTAAGGGCTCAGACTTGCAACAGTGATAAGTTAACATTTATTTCCCTAAATCTTCAGCCATACCAGTATCAAAGCATCGTTGCTATCACTCGTTTGGGAAGAAATAAGTCTTATGAAAAAAAAAAAAAAAAAAAGAAACAAAACTATTATCTGCTTTGATATTATCTGCATTGTCTTTTCTTGAAGAGTGTTGTGTGTTTTTAAAAGAGTCAGGTATTCTGTTCCCATTCCAGTGGGATTCAAACATAGTATCCTGTCAAAATCCCAGCCTAAAGCTTTGACTGAGGTCTTTCAGCCCCAAGAAGTTTGTCTGTCTGTTTTTGCCATGATTTCCAAGCCTTTTGACCAATACAAAGATATTTAAGGGAGCTCTGGAAATCTCTGTTATTTATGGTTCCATAATTTAATGAAGAAGAGGGGTGCCTTACTGCCACTGCTAATGCAGAAGGTGCAAGCACACAAGGTACTGCTGTCTGAGCTTGTCCTTTCTCACAATGCAGTCAATCCCACATGAGTCTCAAATCAACCAGAAATGAGGGTTCACTCTTTCAGCTGCCGGTGATACCACTGATTCCCTGCTACAGCACGTTTGGCTTCAGCTCTGAGAGGGCTGGGCTATGTGTTAAGAGGGTCTCCAGTCTGTTTTTTTATTCTAGATACTAGCTCTATGGTTTCTTCTTCCAGCTGCAGGCACCAGAAAATTCAAAGGTCTTTAGAAATCAGACCCCATTTTTGAGTTGTGTCAGTAATATAATGGTCTGTTTAAAAGCAGTATACGTGTCTGAGGCAGTGTAGTCTCCATAGAGAGCTGGAAGCAAAAGCATGCTTGGTAAATGTAACCTGGTGCTCAGTTGAGTGTCTTCATTTCAGGAAAGGAGGTATTTCAATGAATATCTTGCACATCTTAAAGTAACACCATGATTCTATGCTAAGTGTTCACTATTTTGTTTCTAATTAGTAGTAGTACCTTCTTAGAATAGAAATAAAAATTCCTGACCTACTGGATTTATTGCTATCAATTTAGGTAGGTTGCATACTGTTCTTTCTGGAGCCAGTAGTGCTAAACAGGAAGATCTTATTCATGTTTCTTCAGGATATTGTAAACAGATATGTAAATACTTATAAAGCTATAAATTACTCTTACCTGTATAACCACAGTTCATCTTGGGATTAGTCTGTAGAAACAAAAGTGTAAAGCACACATCTCTGATTCATCTGCCAAGTATGTTGGTAAAGCCATCCATTTGTTGTGAAATTCTTCTGGTTACGTGGTTCAGCTTGTACATGCAGTTTCCTCATCTGTGCACACACTTATCAGATCTGTGTGGACAAAACAGATGTTTGCACAGTCTTTACGGAGAGTTCATCTGTATGTTTTCCTTATTGCTATGATCAAAATGTCAAGACGGACAGTCAACTTTTCACGTGTACACACTGTTCCAGGGTTTGACAACATTATCAGTGGGAGCATATAATCATCTGCACCATCATGTTTTGTTTTCTGTAGGCTTCTGTGTTGTGTAGCCCTTAGGTATATCTTCTTCAGTGCACATCTGTTAAGTATGTAAAAGTCAAGTATGTGGCCATGTTCTCTACACTGTGTTTTCTAATTCAGACTCCCAGACTAAGCCTGTAACAACAAGCTGTATTCTGTCTCCTGATAGAACAAAAGCCACTATTTGCTGCAAATACATTTGTTTGTCTTTATTGAAGGTGGTAAACTTGCGGCCAACATGAAAATTATCTCACCATTGAAAGAACTCTGTGAATTCAAAACTCTCATGATGTGTGTTTTAGCTGGAATGACAAGTGGAAAGAATGCAATGAGCTTAAACACCTGGTAGATGTTGGTTCTTCAAATAATATGAAGGTTATGTATGCTGTGCTCCAAGATGTCAGTTTTGACCTGAACTTTGAAGAATTTTTCAGAACTCCATATAACATGAAAGTCTGTTATTTCAGTTTGTCCCTCCAGGTCTGCACTCTTCCATCCCAGATCCATCCTTCTGTACTAATCTTTTCTATTAGGAGGGACACCTTGTTCATATCTCCTCCTCCTCACTCCCCTTCTCCAGCCTCCTCCACTGCCCTTGCCCTCAGATCACAAATCATGTTTCCATAAGAAGTGTGTACTCTGGTCATTTATTCTGCTACTCGTGTCCCGTGTTTTCCTGAGAAGGCCTACATTTGTGTCCCTCACCTTCCACTTCCTTGGTACCTTTATTTTGGAAAGTAAGATGTTTGTGAGGAGATGCAACTGTAAGCTCTATTGGGAAGATGGAATGGGAAATTATGAGGGAGCGATACTGTTATTTCAGAAAGTGTTAATGAATGCTGTCAGCCAAACCTTTGACTTAAAAGAGAGGGTGGGAGCAACAAGCAAGTGATGAAGGCTCGATGTGTTCTCCATTACTGTCATTCTCATTTTCCTTGGCTGGGAGCATCTGGAATAGTCTCCAACACTTTTAACTGAGTAAATGCAGCATTCCCAAGCTGTTGTGTGACAGACAAACAGATGAACCTACAAAGAAATGCCATGAAGTTGGCTGTGTGGATTCACAAGCTCATTCAATTATTCATGACTAGAAAAATAATGTTATATAAATGGTCAAGATTTTTTGAGGGTGAGTAATTGTTTTGGATGTCTTATTCTTCAGATGATCCATTAAAAATACCTTAAAAGGGCTTGTGTTTCAGCACGTGGGTTCCCAGAGCCCTCTAAAAATTGAGGGTCCTTATAAATGTCTCATGATGAACACCCAGAAAACCCAGAAATGATCAAAATGACTTTTCATTCAAAAGTGCTACCCATAAAGTTATGCATTGAGGCATTGTTTTCTGGTTTATATCCGTCTGTGAATCCTACTTGCATGTTTGTATACAGACTCTAAATAAATGTTAACAGTATTTTTTATAAGTTATGTTGTAGGTGGAAGCACTTTGCTAGAAGCAGAAACAGTGGTCTAAAAGTTTGGGAAGGGAGGCCCAGGAAGAGTTCATTGGTTAGGTCTTGAATGTGGAGCTGTTTACTAACCACACACAAAGTATGTCAAGAGGGAATAGGGCATTGCAGCATTGCTCTCCAGCACTGCTAGTGTCTGAAGCATGGGAAAAGTACATATAAAAATGTACCAAATAAACTGGAAAAGCTGAGTAGAGGCAGGCTCGTTTAGGCTGTTTCAGGCTTGCTATAGGATGGAGACTGCCTGCGGCAAACAGGAGTTTGGTGGGCACTGCTGCAAAGAGGTCACAGCAGCAGTCTGGGATGAGGCTGGAGGAAAGCAGCAGAAAGGTCACGTAGTCCATCCAGCTAAACAGTCCTGGTGGGTGGCAGTCTGAAATAATTCCTGAGCTATTAATTAGGAAGATGCTTCTTCCAGGTTCCGGCCAAAGTCATAAGACATGCCAAGGCAAGGAGCCAAAAGATCAAAAGGACACTAATTTTCTTTTTTTTTTTTTAGCCATTCTGTGTAGAGGGGGAGGAGAGTGCTGTCCAGGGCCAGTTCACACAGGACGTACTGATGGAGCTTGGCTTTCCTGTAGGATGTAAAGAAGCAGAATCTGTCTGCTGCTGTCCTTTAGTGCATAGATTTAGTGTAGAGATAACTGAAAATTATTTTAACTTAGCCTTACCTTTTATCTTAACTTCTTCTGTAAGACTGCTACTACTTACACTGTCTTTTGGTCCCTGTTAGGGTTACACATAGCCTTTTCAAGCCAACCTACTGAAATTACCTTCATTAACAATATTTCACAAGCCCTTCAAAAGGAATATTGCAAGTCTCGATTCTAGGCAGATTTTCTAGTAAAGCATAAATAAACCCATCACATTGTAGCCTGTGACTTGCATTTAATATCATGAGAAGAGCCAAAGCCACGATTCCTAATGGTAAAGTGCAAAGGAGAAGGATGTACATCCCTTACCTGCTAGACAGGTCAGACTCCATATTGCACATAACAAGTATTCTGTAAACAGCACTGCCCATGGAGTTTTGTTTCTCACTGACTTCTCTCTGAATGACTCTTTCTCACTCCCCTTCCTTCCATGAGTCCCCTGTTTGCATCCTCTGATGTTTGGGAAGGGTATGTGCTGCAGCCTTTCCCACAATGGCTCTGCATGCCTATTTTCACTCAGCCTGCACCTACTATTCTGACAGACTTGGCCACGAATGAGCAGGAAATTCAAAACTGATTGGGGGCAAAATGATAGGAGAAAAGGGCTGGATGACAGTGTGGTGTGTCTTAAATACTTATTTTTAAGGAAATTTGATTAAGCAGGGTAAGTCTGGGGAACTGAAAATATCTATGGAATTGACTTTTGCAGGAGGAGCCTGGTAGGAAAGACACCAAAGACTAAATTTGCATTGCATCCCATGGATTCGCTACATTTTTCCCACTACAGAATGCAAACTAGACATTGGCTATGAATGTAGAGGCTGGTCACTTCTTACAGTGAAAAAGAAAGCCAGAATTTTGCAACCCAAACAGGAAACACAATGGTAGGTCCTACTTTTATAAAACCTTTCTTCTTCGTCCATTTGTCCTGTGGTTGTGGAAGGGAAACCCCCATTTTAATGGAATGTTTTTGTGGGGTCCAGAGTGAGATTCCAGTGGGGGCTCTGTTGCAATCTTAAACTTGGAGCAGCTGTTATCCCTCCTTAACGACGTCAGTAACATTAATTTGATAAAGCCAGAAAAAGTTCTAGCAACCTTCATGGAACTCTCAAAGGAATTTGATGGGAACAAATTTTTTTTGTGTTATTTATTTTAAGTGTCGTTGTGGGTTTTTTTTTCCCCCAAACTTAATTGTTGAGGCTAGAACAATAGATTTTCAGTATACCACATTTGAAATTTGTGTGCCTCTTTCTGATTGTATATTCATTTATATATATATATATTAAGGAGAATATTATTACTATTATTTTTATTATTGAAAAATGCATTATCTCCTTTTTGATCCTTCCTTCACTTTAAGCAGGGAAGAAATAAGAGAATAAATAGAGAAAAAGGCAAACATCTACATTATTTCTTGACATTTCTACCAATGAAAATGCACTAACGTCTTGGAGGAAGGGGAATGTTTATAGGTCTTAAAACCACGTAAAGACCATGGAAGTGCATGTGTTCTCATAACTCTGCTGTAGAACTGAAACTGGGGCTCCTAAATAACTTCTTTTCATTAAAGCACAAAGGTTTAACTAGACCTTTTCACATGAAATCACATTTTGGTATTTGATTTAAACCCTGCCACCATCAAAAGTTTCTTGAAATTTACACGTAATTGGCCACTGTCAATTTAAAATTGTCTTCCTTTTTTCTACATCATTAAAAACATCTTTGGTGTTTGATCCAGCCATTTATTATATGCTTTACAACCCTAAGGAACAAATCTAAGTTCTGCTCCACTGGTTTCCTTCTGGTTATGATGGTGAGCTGACAACATTTCATTTAGAAATTAATCATATACTCTTATTGTTGAAGTTTTTATAAAAATGAAATTAAATTGAAATTAAAGACAGGTGTACACCCTTTATTAAGTTTAGAGAGAGCATGTTATTAATTTTCCATTCTTCATACAAATGCTGCCCTAGAAGGTAGCTGAGTGTGAGGAAGTTATAGCACCACTCTCTAATATGATAATAATTGGCAAGCAAGAGGAATTCTGTAGTTCCTGAGACAGTGAAGAGGAGCAACCTTTCCTTTTCCACTACTCAAATTCCTGAGGGCTGCACATTTCTAACATACAAAAAAAATTTCCCTCCCACAGCACACACATTGCAGAGTGCCTACCAAAGTTTAGAGGGCAGTACTCAAAAAGTGACCAGGAGAAGAAAACACATTTGGAGTCACTCTGTTTCACAGGAGTGGGCTGTGGGCTAAAGCACACGTTGTCTGTAGTTTCCAGGCTCGTCCCCAGTAGCTCTGTTACAAAGCTTAAAGTTTATCCTCACTGACATCTATAACACAGAAAAATATGTTGGGGGCAGGAAGTACTTGGAGAAATAGCAATAGACAAGACAAAAAATCTTCTCACAGCAGAATTTGGAGGAAATACGTGTTTTGAGTTAAAATGTTAACCTTGAGAATAAAGTCATTACTCTGTGGTGTTGCCACATGAGGCATCATCACAAACGCATGTCAGTGTATAATCAATTAGTGATCCTGCATGGTCTTTGTGTTGACTGCAAATCTGGGTACAGGAACAGGAAAGGTCTGACAAAGATGGACAGTGGTGGTAGTTCACTGCAAATCCCACACTGAGCACACACTTTTGACCTAAAGGAAGATTAACATTTATGAAGAGACATGGTAGAACCTGAAGAGTGAAAATGTCTCCTTAAAATTAGTATTCCTGTGTACTGGGGCAGACAGTAATCTTCAAATCCTTAATTTAACTTCAGTTGCAAGCACAGTTATACAATCCAGGGCTCAGCATCGTGCAGAGATTCTTTTGTGATGCTGTTTATCCTCCAGCCTAAGACCTTGGGTGGAGTCATGGATTTCAAGAGGAGACCTCTGCCACCAAGTTCATGATATGGTTTGCTCTGCCATGGATTCCTTGCCTATGTGACAAGGAAGAATAGAACCCATCCCATGGGGAGCTATTTCCAGAGTTAGTTGAAAGTGTTTGGTTGTTCCTTGGGTTGCCTTCCTCTGCCTGTCCTGAAAGAGGTAATGCTCTTGGTGCAAAGTAAAATTGTCATGCTATTATGTGATTCTTAGCAGAAGGACCAGTGTTGGTACATTTGAGATCAGATATTGGATAGCCGTGTGCATATTTCACAGTCACATGTGAAACACTGTGCACATGTGAATACTGTGTGGAGCTGTGTTCTTGATGAATACTGGACTGCCTCCTACACCATGGGAGAAGTACAGCAAGTGCAAGACAAAGGCCAGATCCCAGGGCCACCTCCCCTGCTAATTTGTAGCTGAGTTTTGCCCTTTACTCTCCCACTGATTAAAAGGGAAGAAAACTACAATATTTAAGGAAAAAGAAAGCAATTTCTTTGGCACTATTTCTGTCTGTACCTCTGAACTGAATTCTCCTTTAAACACAAGATACTGGATCTGTGTTTGTGAACACATACTGCATGCCCTCTTATGAGTGAGTTGTAGTCTCTTTTCTGCATAAATATTTTTACCAGTCTGATGCGCCTTTCTGTTAGCTGTTTGGGTGGCATTTTATATGCTCTTGAATTTTTGGTTATTAAGATAGAAGGTTTTGATTTTGATTTTATTATCTCAAGAGCCAGGGAGAAGAATGGAGCATGCTTATCTGGTTGTTTCAGAGTCTTCTGGGAGGAAGGAACGGGCAAGCAGGTGAGACAGAGCCTCACCTATCCCAGTGTGTGATGATGAGCAGTGGGTATTTTGACAAAAAGATAAGGACAGCTTTCCCATTACATCCCTCTGACTTCTGGCAAATTTTAGGAATGAGCTGAAGAATGTTCCTGAACCACTGTGTTTAATAGCTAATGGCTTTTGGTTAGAGAAATCCGATCCTCCCTTTGGTCAGTAATATGCACTGAATAATGTCTTCAGATTGCTGCCAGCCATGTTTTCCATGAATCTTTGAAAGTCTGTGGAAACTCGTCGGGCTCATTTTTCAGTTTTCTTGTTATTCAGATCAAGAGATCCATTCCAGCTTGGGCCATCTAAGGATTTGACCTTTGGATTCCTGTCTGTGTTAGAGTGCCTGCTGCCACTGCTGTCCTAGCATTTTGCCACTGCCTTTGTTGCAAGGAGCTGAGTAACATCATGATCTGTGCAACTGGTAACTTGCCTGTCTGGAAAAATTTAGAGCAGGAGGGAGGGAGGCCCCTTGGGATTGAAAAAGCTTCATAAAAGGCTTTATATTAGTTGTTAGGTGTGTGTATACATATGTCTGTATATTTGGGAAATAATTTTGCAAAATTTTTCATTCTCATAAACATGCTAGGTTTTTCTTTTGGCCTTGGTTCGTGATAGGGAAAAAAGCTTTTGTTCTGAAGGGGTTTTCTCAGTCATAAACTGTGCATTTAGCTACTGAACTTGCCCAGATTTTGTTACTGTTTTCCCTCCAAGTATACAACACAGTGTCAGATCAGACATTCTACAGTGTATTACAAGTCTTCCTTTTAGCTTTGCATAAACAGAACTGATAAATATTGTCAATCAGAGTTACTATTTTTTAACTGCATATGTTGAAGTTGTGGTCATGAAAAGTGTAAGCCCTGGCAGTTTTGTAGCTCCCTTTGCTGACACTTAAGGTTTTGCGATTTTCTTTTTAATTTCTTTGAACTATAAATAGAGGAAACGTACTGCAATGCTTTATTCGTGATGACAGCATATACAACAGTCCATATGCCTGTGTTTTGGCTCAGAATTGGACAGATAGATGTTTGTAGTTTTTTCATGTGCTATTGATGATTCAAGGGTTAGATAAATTTACTGTAGTGGGAGGTATTGGCAGAAGTAATACTTGTATAAACATGATCCTTTTAGTTATAAAATAAAAACTATCACTAAATCACTTTACTCCCAGTTGCACATGTCCAGAAGCTCTTTCTCATTCCACAGGACAAAGTTTGGTAAATCCCTCCTGGTATGAGTTGCTTCCAGAGGACAATTTCAACTGTAGATAATTCTGTTGGATACTGTTAGGAAATGGCATGGCAAGACAAGTTAAAAATAGTACATTTACATCCTGGGTATAATGAGTTGCAAAGAAATTTGCTTTGGGGTTCATACATGAAGATCGTAAATAAGACATTTTAAAGAAGCTGATACATGGTATATGACCATGTGGGTCCACATAGAGTGAATAAACCTGTAGGTATTAGATGTTCGTTATTAAGGCTAAGGCTGCTGATTCGTTTCCAGATGCAGTTTTCTGCCTGGGAGCTTTTATGCAATGCAAAAAAAAAAAAAAAAAAAAAAAAAATAAAAAAGTTATTATCATCTCTCTCTTTCCCTTTTTTTCTTTCAATCCAGAAGCTCAGCGATTTGGAAGCTTCATTCTATGAATTGTGGTTAATAACATCACTATAGCATCACATCTCTATGGAAGGGACAGCATTGTTGTTTTATGCAATTTTAGTTAACAGTCCTCAAATTCAGATCCTACTTGAACGCAAAGTGAAAAATAATCATGTGCTTTGCTAGCTGGTCCTGGTCCTGTGGGTAACTGCTGGATTTTCTGACACTATAGAGTGCTTGATTTGCATCTTCTTTTATGTGGTACCACAAAACTCTCCGTAGGCCTATGTGGTAAGGATTCTTCATAGAAGAGAAATGTTCATTTGGCCATTTACATAAGTTTTCAATTTGTGCTGGTTTATCAGAAGTGATAGTACTGGGGGTCTGGAATACGGGTTCTCGGATAACTTGGTGTGTTGGCAGTGAGTAAATCCTATTTTAATGTATTGGTTTTTATCTGCTTTTTAGAAACAAGAAAATGCACAAAAGGCTTCAGTTTCTTCCTTTTTTTTTTTTTTTTTCTTCTTTTTTTAAATTGTCTGTCCAAAATTTCTGGGAAGCTGAGTATTTGGAAGAAAACTGAGTCAAAGCTTGTTACTTCTTACAAGCAGTCTGTGTTTACTTGAGCTCATAAAGACAGAGCTAGAAGCAAAACTTAAAGAGCTATTTGAAAAACATATGCACCTAAATAGTACTTTGCATTTCCATCGCTGTCAGTGTGTTTGTGGGTATCTACATATACACCTGCATATGTATGTGCATGTGCACCCCTGTGCCATACCCAACATGGCACATACAAAGCACAAAAAAGTACAATGCTTTGACTGAGTTCAAGCTGAATTTTTACGGTTCCCTACTGGGAAGATGATAACATTAGTGGTATTTTGGGAACATGCTTGCTGCTTTCTTCAAGGGACCTTTGTGACCTCCAGATCTGCTTGATACAGTCACACAATACATCAGTAAATTTAAGTGTTAAGATTACGGTGCTTTGGGTTGCTGAATACCATCATCCAAAACACTCATCCCAAAGAGTCATCAAGAGTCATTACTTGGCAATTCACAGCATGGGGTACTCTGTTCTCATCTGCTACGTGATTATATTTGGGGAAAAGTTTGAGTCAAAATATATTATTTTATTGAATTGATTTCAAGAAGCATTATAAAATTATGCACACAAGCTCTCTCTGTATGACTCAGGAATGTGGTTTTTCTAACTGTGAAACATGGTGTTATCTACAGCCCAAAAAGGTTTTGTTTGACAGTTCTGGTAATCCCTTATGAATGTCAGCAGATCACAGTTTTGATTTTGCTCTTGTAATTTTTTTTTTCCCACATCTGGCCCCACATTCATATATACCATACATAGCCAAAGTGCTCAGTATTAGCGTCGTGACTTATGAAAGATGACTTCAGGAAGAAAAACCATGCAAAGATTATTTGGAGAAGCAGTGGATGGCACTGTTGGATTATAATTATAAGGCAATAAAACATGCAAATCATAAATTACAGTGATTTTTTAAAGGTGCATAAGCTACATCATGCAATTCTCTGAAGATACGAGCTGAGGTTAGACCTCTGAGGAATGTCATGCTCATATGGACATTATCATTCTATATTATGTTATAAAAAACACGGGGGTCAGGCTGAGAAGAGCCCATGCCACTTTTCATTCCAGCCTTTTGCAGCGTTTTCCTTGTTCCAGCACCACCACTCACATTGAAGCAACGTTTTTGCTTCAAGGGGCCCACCTGCAAGACAGGAACTTGGCAGCAGGAAGGGCTGGAGGCAGCATGGCGCCAGGAGGGGATGATGCTTCCAATCCTTCAGGCAGGAGCTGTGAAGCTGCAGGACATCAGCAGCCTGTGAGCATTTTGTGTAAAACTTGGGGCAGGCCGTGGGACAAAGACCTCTGCAGCCCCTGAATCCTGCTCATTTTGACCTTTGAAGGAGAGCTTAACTCTTGGCATCACTGCAGTCTGATGATGAGCACGCAGGTGGATTTTATCCTGCTTTAGTTTTCCTCTATTGCAATACTTAGTGTTCCTGGCTTTCCTTATTGAGGACTGTGTGAAGGTGCTTTCGTTATGTGGTAGACCTGGCTTTTCCCCAGTATAGTAAACATTCATTTCCTTTTTTCTTTACCTCACTGCTTCCATGAATAAATTTTCAGAGGAGGAGATTACCAGGAGTAAATGTTTCCAAATGCTTGCTTCACTGCAACAGTCAAAATAATTCCCATTTTTTGTTAGTGAGAACAGTAACAAAATAATAATAATGACAATAATAACAATAACAATAATTTTTTAAATCACAATCTGGTGGAAAAGTCCCATTTCTTTCATTACAATTACCAGAGAGACTAAGGATGGTGTAAACAGTCTGAGTCGGCAAGGAGGTGTCCCACTGGTGTTTTCTTTTGAGATGTACCAGACCACGACAGCTGGACTCAGTTCCTAATGGGGACAAAAAAACCCACAGCAACAACTAATATGCATGGTGGAAGCTGTTCAATCTGCAGGATTGGAAGCTGAAGTGTTTTTAAGGTAGAGGCAGTCTGTCCCACACACTGCAATTTAGAAAGGGAGGAGTTAACTCCTGGTGCTACCTGAGAAAGGGAAAGGAATTAAAGGAGGCCTGATATGTAAAATAAAACAATCAGTCTAAAGAAAATAAATCTTAAAGGTGGTAATTTCGAGGACATTGCCTGCTGAACCAGCCTTGATGGGAAGCATCTACTCTCAGTCAACTGCTCAAGGTCCATAGAAGTGGCAAGGAGGAAGTTGAAAGGTGGAGAGAATGGGATGGAGGGTTTAGGGACTCTTTATTTACCTGCCAGAGAGCTCCTGCCTTCAAAGCTGCTGTGGTGCATCAGCTAAGCTCTGAGGAAACCAAAACTTGTGCTGAGCAACTTGGGGGGGAAGGGAGGGGATAAAACCAGATGTCAGATGGAGGGGGGGGGGAGGAGAAGGTTTGTTAGATATGCAGAATACTTTGTTTTTTAAAATAAAAAAAAATGGGATGTGTGATGAAGGAAGCTGAGTGTAGGCAGGGAGGAATGCAGGAGAGAAAAGGAAAGGAAAGAGAAATGGGAGGAAAAATCTGAGGTGAGGTGAAGGAGAGACCAGGGCAGTGCTCTCCCCTCTGTCTCTGCACACCATTTGAAATGGCTATATATAGTTAAGAAATGCTAACATATGGCACTCATATAGCATATGGCACTCAAAATAGTTAAGAGATACACTTGTCTTAAAGCCAAATGCTGCCTTTAGCTGCATGGGTGTAAGTGAGGATAGGATTTATTTCATACAAGAATGTTTCTCAGATTGCTCTGACTGTTGAAATCAAATGAAGAGTGGGAGCTCCCCTTCTATTTTATCCTAGACCCTCTTTCCTCTGTGTGCAGAAGTCAAATCCCTGAAGCAAAGCAGGATGTTTATACCAAAAACATCCCACAGCCCCACTCA